GCTACCCAACAGCAGGGTCAGACGATGGACCTCAACCTCAACCTCTCACCACCGCATCCGTCAAATACATACCCGGCCGCCCAGCAGCCGGTGAATTACATACAACCGGGATACCCACCACCCGGTCTGCCATACCAGCAGCCGCCGACGATGTATCCCGCCCAGTATCCGTACCCAGTCCCACCTCCACCATATGGGTATTAGCCAGGCCAACCAATGTGCTACACTTCCCCGGTCGGCTATCCACCATATACGCCTGCTTATACAGCTCCAGCCGCCGCCCCTCCAGTACAACCGACCGCCCAAGTGGAGCCGCAGCGTCAGTCCACATCCCGGGCTCGACGCTCGGCTCATTCGCGGTTGGGGTCGGGGGGTGCTGATGCGATGGAGGCACCAGCTCAGGCCGTTCAAGCGGAGGACCCTGAAGAAGTTGCCCGAGCGGTAGCTTTTGATCGTCTTCGACCGGAGATGCGCCAGCGTTTGGGACCCCAAGACCCGAACCGCGGGCAAGAAGACGTACAAATGCAGGAAGCTAGCCACGAGGCTTCATCTGGGTATAGCGGGTCGAGATCTCACCGACGGCGACGCGCTCGGGATACAGCCCAAGCCGCTCAAGCCGCCGAGCTCAACGAAACCCGAGGATTACTCTATAACCTTCAGGCGGAAGTTGCGCAGCTCAGGAATGCGTACCCTGGAACGCCCCCGGTCAACCAATCAACCCTGCACCAGACGCCTTTCACAGCAGCGGTAATGGCCCAGCCTTACCCGCTCGACTTAAAGGTCTCTGGAGAGAAGAGTTATGACGGGCGAGCAGATCCTGAGGCCCACGTGAATGATTTTTTCAGCAACATGATGCTGAAGGGCGTTTCGGACGCCGTGATGTGCAGAGCCTTTTACTCAACCCTCACCGGTCGGGCAGCAGAGTGGTTCCGTACCTTGCCACCAGGGTCGATCGATAAATTTGAGACCCTGGCGATCAAATTTGTGAGGAAGTTCATCACTTCCAAAGTGGTGATGAAGTCGTACATGTATCTCGAGAAGGCCAAGCAATTAGAAGGGGAAAGCTTGACCGATTTCCTCATCAAATGGAAAGCGGCGGTCGGGGAGGTCGAGCCTATGGACGATGCGACCGCTACCCACATGCTTCACATATCTCTCCGGGCGGGACATTTGTATCAGGACTTCATCCTACACCCCCCGACCACTTACGAGGAGGCCCTTCGGAGGGTCACAGACTATGCCAACGCCGGCGAGGCGAATGCCGTCAAGCGCTTGCAGGAGGTCGGCTCTTCGTCCCGTAAACCGGCCGGCCGGGCGGAACATAGGTCGGGAGATGACAACCCTCGATCCCGCACCAGGCCTGGAGAATTTACGGCCTTGAACCGATCCGCAGCGGAGGCCATGCAATACGCCCAGTCCTGCAATCTCATCAAGCTCCCCCATCCCGATCGAGACGGCCCTGACAAGAGTAAGCACTGTGCTTACCATCGATGTGCCGGGCATGACACCGAGGAGTGTACCCACTTGCGCCAATTGTTGGAAGATCTGCTGAACAGGGGAAAATTGGACAAGTGTGTGGGGAAGAGAGAGGAAAACAAGAGGAACACCGATCGGAGGGATCATAGACATTCTCATCACCGCTCTGATCGATCTGGGCAAGACAGAAGGGATGATCGTCATGATGACCGACGGGACCCCGACCCTCCGTCCGGTAGCCGCCCGTCCGGAAAGCCTACCATCCACGTCATTTTTGGTGGGCTGGAAGATGCTTCCCGACCGCGGACTAATTGCCCGGTCGCAATAGTGGATTCCCGGGGAACCGGGAAGAGGCAGAAGATGGAACCCATAACCTTCACCCTTGAGGACCAACCTACCAGCAGTGATCACGGCATGGAGGCGCTCGTGGTCACGATTGACGTTAAGGGGACAGACGTCCAGAGGGTTATGGTTGACACGGGCAGCAGCGTGAACGTCCTATACTTGGACGTGTTTGAGAAGCTTGGCCTTGACAGGAAGGAGCTGACGCCGGTCGGTGTACCACTGTCAGGATTTACCGGGGCTCTTATTTACCCCGAGGGAAAAATAACGCTCCCGGTCGAGATCGGCACACCTCCAAAGTCGATCCAAACGGAGCTGGAATTTGTTGTGGTCAACCTCCATTGCGTCCACAACATTATCTTGGGCCGACCCGCCATCATGAAGATCGGTGGGATAATTTCTATGCCCCACCTGTGCATGAAATTCCCCACCCCTAACGGGGTCGGCGTGGTCCGTGGCGATGTCCAATCCGCCCGGAAGTGTTACACTCGAGCGGTCAATAGACGTGACTCCGGTCCATCTTCCCGGGTGAACATCATAGCCAAAGAGGAGGCTAAGGAACGGAAGGAGCAGCCTGAGCCTTCCGAAGAAATAGAAGAAGTTCCCCTATCCGAGGATCGCCCGGATAGGAAGATCAAGATTGGCCGAGCCCTCACCCCCGAGATCCGAGCGGAAGTTCTGACCGTGCTCCGGGAGTATGCTGATATCTTTGCATGGGGGCCTGAAGATATGCCCGGGATCGATCGGTCGGTCATTTGTCACAAATTGGCCGTCGATCCCGCAGCTAAGCCGGTCGTGCAGAAAACACGACACCTCTCCTCCGATCGCCGCGAGTTTGTAAGAGAAGAAGTCAAAAAGATGGCGGCGATCGAGCACATCCGTCCGGTGGTCTATCCTGAGTGGGTGGCAAATATCGTTCTTGTTCCTAAGCCCCCAGCATGGAGGATGTGCATCGACTTCACGGACCTCAACAAAGCATGTCCGCTCGACCCGTATCCTCTACCGAGCATTCATCAGATGGTCGACGAGACGGCCGGGGCCGAGTTAATGAGCTTCATGGATGCCTTTAAGGGATACCATCAGATTATGATGCACCATGAAGACGAGAGCAAGACAGCCTTCGTGACACCGGATGGGCTGTATTGTTACCGAGTGATGCCGTTCGGCCTCCGGAATGCAGGAGCGACCTACCAGAGGATGGTCAACATGCTCTTTGCCGACCTACTGGGCCGAACGATGGAAGCTTACATCGACGACATGCTGGTCAAGAGTCGGGACCGATCCGACCACACTCGGGACCTTCGGGAGTGCTTCCAGATCATGAGGAAGTACCAGTTGTGGCTGAACCCGACCAAGTGCACATTCGCGGTTCAGACCGGCAAGTTCCTCGGCTATATGATGACCAAGAGAGGAATCGAGCCTAACCCGGCCAAAGTAAAAGCGATTCTGGACAGGCAGCCACCTTCCACCGTTCGGGAAGTCCAGCAATTGACCGGTCGGCTGGTAGCTTCGGGGGAGTAGGACATGATGTCCACCTCCTCGTCGCTGAGGTGCTCGACCTCCTCGTCGTAATCCGCGATCGATGCGTTTTGACTGTCAGAGTCCGTCATTTCAATCTACCTAAAGGTCGGTCGGGGTTAGTGAAGGACTTAAAGTGTCCGGGACAATTAGTTGACCTAGCAGCTCTACCTAACATGGAAGTGTAAAGAAAGGAGAAGGGCTAGAAGCTTACCGAGTGAAGAAACTTGGAAGTGGATTTGAGCTTTTGCTTTGCTTGGTCGGATTGCCGATCTGCTGCTCGGGACTCTCTGAGGGTTCCGATTGCTTCAGAAGATTGAGGAAAGTTCAAATGGGGGCCTCAAGGGCCTACTTATAGGAGGGCATTTAGGCGGGAAAGTTGTCCACTTGCGCGACACGACCCGCGCTGATTCCGAGGCAAGGGTTGCAGTCGCAGAGGCCGGCAGTGGCCGACACGTGGCGGAGAAGGGAATGACAGCTGGCCGGTCGGTTTAGCGGCCGGCGGTTGGGTTTCTTCATCCCGGCCCATTTTTTCCCGGACGATCAAAAAGGCCCGGGCTGGGGGGCTCTTGGTAGGGAATATCTCGACCGACATAGCTTCACCACGACCAAGGAGCCTTTGTCTCTTTTTCCTTGTCTTTGCAGGCAACAGGTCGGGCTCCTCGAGAAGAACCCGGTCGTATACCGACCGGGAGTTGCCCGAGCGACGGTGTCGACCACCGAGCGGTAGCCCTTTGGCGAAAGAGCTGACGAAGGACACGTGGCGGCTCTTTACATCGACAGGCAGGGCACCCGGGAGGATGACACGTGGTGGCTACGTGGAGGACATGCCGAACGGCTGGAATCTTGTCCCCGGCATAGCGGCTATAAATACCCACAGTAGCTACAGTGGAAGGGACTTTTGGACGATCGATAGGTTGTTGTTAGAGAATCCCGACCGCAGTCAGTCGGTACTCAGAGCAACCAAGTAGATTGTACTTAGGGCCTTTACCGTGATCAATAAAGACATTTACTTGCTTTAATTGGTCTCGAGTTACTTCATATTGCTTACGTACAATTAGCAGTATCAATTATTAAAATTGATACATACAAAACATATTTTTCACATCATACGATATAACAATGATAATGATAAAACCATATATATAATTCTTAGAAGCTAGGCTGGACAGACAAAGGTATTTGAATACGTTGAATGTTGTTGCCTTTAGGAATACAAGAAACTGTGGTAGAAGGGTGGGGAGAATTATTGAAATTTCTAAAGTTGACAACTGGGAAGGTGCAGTGTCTAGACATGATCCACCCCAACAATAATTATTTAATAAGTTTAGGAGCACATTTTTATGGAATTTCCAGAAAAAAAGAGAAGTTTCATGGGTTCTTCGATCGGGTCAACCGGCCCAACACCCATACCCTAAGTACCTCAACCAACAATAATAAATCATGAAACACATACGTAATTTTGACTGGAGATAATTAATTAGAGTTTGCGTAAAACTCGCGCGCCGCCGCGAATCGACGCCGAAACCACCCAACGGCATATTCCATTCCGAAATCCAGGACAAATTAGATCCAAAGTAGGATTTGGGGAGAGAATATGTGCTCGCTGTCGAATATTCTCTCAGATTCCTTCGCACGTTGCTTATCCCCACAAATCTGGCCGTGCGATCAACAAATCCGACGAGGAATATTTCGTCCTAGGCTACCGGACATGTCCGCTAGGAAGGAATATAAAATTGGGGTAATATTCCCTTGGCATCTTCACAATCCCGTGCATGTATATATAAGTTCCTTCCCTCTCAAAGCTTCATCGTACACAAAAACACATTCTTCTAGTCTTCTTAAATCTTCGAGTTCTCCTGTCTGTTCTCCCATGGCGGCCGGAACTGTCGTGGTTTTCGACTTTGACAAGACGATCATCGACGTCGACAGCGATAACTGGGTCGTCGACGAGTTGGGCTTCACCGGATTGTTCGACCAGCTTCTTCACACCATGCCTTGGAATTCTCTCATGGTTAGTAGTTTAGTACTCTGTTTCTTAAACTTATTCCGACATTAATTAATGATGTTCTAAATTCTAATTTACTGTATTATATTACTTACAGGATAGGATGATGAAGGAGATTCATGCGAACGGGAAGACAATCGGGGACATCGAACGAGTTCTCCAGGGCGTCCCGATTCATCCCCGGATTGTTCCGGCTATAAAAGCAGTTCACGGTTTAGGGTAATGTTCGTTTCTTTAATTATCGGTTCTTGGTTTCTTGGCGGTTCTGTCGTTTCTGACGATGAAGTTGTTGAATTTTCAGGTGTGATTTGAGGATAGTGAGCGATGCAAACCTTTTCTTCATCGAAACAATCTTGAAACATCTGGGAATCCGAGAATGTTTCTCGGAGATCAACACTAATCCTGGCTATGTCGACGAGGAAGGCCGCCTTAGAATCCTCCCTTTCCATGACTTCCATTCTTCTCCCCATGGCTGTGCTCGCTGCCCTCCCAACATGTGCAAGAGTAAGATTATTGAAAGGATTCAAGCATCTATGGGTAAGGAAGGGAAGAAGAGGGTGATCTACCTGGGAGATGGGATTGGCGATTTCTGCCCAAGCTTGAAGCTGAAAGCAGGAGACTTTATGATGCCCAGGAAAGACTTCCCAGTCTGGGAGTTGATCAAAGAAAACAGATCCCTTCTAGAAGCAGAGATTCATGAATGGAGCAATGGTGAAGACTTTGAGAGGATCCTGTTTCATCTCATTAACAGGATTTGCATTGAAGACAGTCAATTTCTGGCGGCTGAATCCAAGTTCCAGGCCATTTCCATGCAGCCTTGTGAAGCTCTGCCCAAAGCTATCCGAGTGCCTTTCTAGTTCTGTTCTTCAAGAAAACAAAAAAAAAACAGTCATTCTGCAGCTTAATTGCTTGCAAACAGCATCTAATTATCTTTTAATGTTGTATTCAGCAACCTAAGTAACTTCAGTAGTTCCAGTTTGTGGATGAAATTCTGTCTGCCTCAAGACCCAAAAGGGCAATGTTCTGCCACAAGTTTATAGAATGAAAATTTGGTCCCCCCATAAGTTTCATGGGCTCAACAAGCCTCAAGTTTAAAACTTTATTTTGTTCTATTGGGCCTAAACGGGTCACCTCCTATAATAACTTAAGAGTTAAGAACAAAAAAAAAAAAAGGTGGTGTGGCGGGGCCCACCTAGCTTGTGGGCCAAGGACGAGACGGTTTGGGCCAATAAAACCCATGCCCTCCAAGAAGTGGGTTTTTTTCCGTTCTACCCTACCAGTCCGTATTGACGTCTCTAGTTTGCGGCAAATATAATGTGTACTAATGGAACATTAGTTATGTGGTCCATATTGGCCTGTTTGAGGAAAGTGAAAGGCAACTACCACATCATAGATGAACATATTATCACAACATCTTCACACCTTATAAATTATATATGTTGGTATTTTTTTTTTTTTTTTTTTGAGTATTCGAGTATTGCTGACTTTATTACAATGCAGCTGTTCATAACTACTTTTTCAATCTATTAAAGCGCAAATAGTCAATATTGCATCCACACTGAGGCTCGAACTAACAACCTCCCATATGGAAGATTGGTACCCAATAAATAATGAGTTATAAAAGAAATTTATTGTCAACACATTTTATATAATCTATATCTATATTTCTATTAATTTTTGGTTCCCAAATGCCCATGTTAGCAACTGCACGCCAATAATTTATGTTTGTTGGTAGGGTTGGTACCCAATAGAGGGTCAGTTTTTGTCATATTTGTATTGCAATGGATAATTGGTAGGGCTGGTTCCCAATATCTCTCTTGCCTTTTTACCTCCAATAAGAAAGTCTGGTTTATTTATCCTGTAAAGAAAAACAATTTTAATGTATACATAGTACATAACATGACCTGTTTGGACACCTCAATTTCAGTGGTGTAGGGTCATTTTCTTTGCCCTCACCTCAGATCTACAATCATAACATTGTGAAAAAATAGAACCCTACACTTAGCGAATGTTAGGTTAATATGTTAAATGATCAATTGAGTTGTGTCTTAGAGATTCTTGGTCAAATCAATCTCACAGAAAGTTAAACTCTGGGGTTTGTGATTATCAAATTATTTATCTGATCCCGCAGAGAGTTGAACTCTGGACTTTGTGATTACCAAATCATTTATCTGACATTTTAATTAACTTGGTTGAGGTTATTCTGCATTTTAGTATACTTTTTTTTTTTTTTTTTTTTTTTTGTTTCCTGTTTTCCTGCTAAGTGTATATATATATATATATATATATATATATATATATATATATATATATAGACAATAACTATTGGCGGTATTATGGCAATAATTTAGTCAGATCCAGTCTGGACCACATATATCAGCCCATGGTTGTATTGAGTAAGAGAAGGCCTACTGGGCCCAATACCCGCTGGAAGTTTGAACTTTTTGTTGGCTCTCTTGACCCCGGCCCCACAATTCCCATCTTTCAATTCCGTAACAAATTATATTGTAATGGTTGGCATATTAGGATAGATTACAAATAAATGTTTGTTTTTAATATATTAAATTCATGTTTAGATAATATACTAAATTTGAATTTATATGTTAACGATTTGTATTACAAATGTAAATCATGATTTACAGTATAATAAGTGTAATTTCACTCATTCGCATCGTGCAATCGTATTACTTTGGATCTAATTATATTATGATAAATTGTATTGATTTTTTGTTTTTGTATTTTTAAAATTTTTATACCCATTATGGTCATATATAATCAAATATCAATATTGATAATTATTTTAATTCCACCAAACTACCAAACATGCAAAATATCTACACCAAAACTCATTACAATTATCAAGTATTTGATTCCCATTTCAATTCTGATTCTCCTTAGCGAAGCAAACACACCATAATTCTGGACTTGTTGCACCTTGGAATCATTGTCTGTTTCACACAGTCTTTTAGAACCCAACAACATTCTCAGTAAAATGTATGTATGTATTATTATTATTGTGAAAGAGGACAAAATTTCACATATGTAATAAAAGGACAAGTTCATTACTATTCAACCATTAATTAATGCCATTGGGAATGCCAAAGAATTTCTCTGACCATACTTTTTCCCCCCTAAACCAAACCACTTTACTATCTTATGTAATAGGTTAGGTTTTCTGAGGTTATCACAAATATTCCAAACCATAACGATATTAACAATATTGACAGAGATTAATTCACCTAATTCATCACAGATCTACCCATCTTCATGTCTTGTTATAGATACACTTTATCATATATTTTTAAGTTTTGAATTCAAATGTATAATCTGTAGCTATTGTTTATAATGAATTTGTATATTAGACGCATCTATTGTTAAGAGCTAATTAATGTGCGAATTGCACGTCAGTTTATTATGATTTTTCATTCTCTGATCGACTGATCTATGAATCTTAGAACATCCATCAAAGAGTACAAATTAATTGTTTTTTGTTAATGTTATCAGCATTATCTAACCTATATTGTTTCATCTTGTTTTATATATTTTGAGCAGCTTTTTGAATATGAATGTTTTAGAGCAATAAACTGTTACAAAAAGTTAATTAATTATTTAATCAAGTCAAATAAATTAAAATCGACTGATATGCTAACTATTTTACCAAATAGGGTCAATAATGTGCGAGTGTTGTGGTCGGACGAATTGAATGAGACGGCGAGACAGGCAGACAAGCGGAGTTTGTGAATCAGGTGGCCGGAACAGATAAATAGACATTTCTAGCTTTTGGTTTCAGCGCCCAGCGCGCTGCAGATTTTCAAAACTCAAATTTTGGGGAATATCTAACGTTAACAATAAAAAAAAAATGTTGTTTTCCAAATTTGTTCCTTTTTGTTTTTTAAATGTAATTTTTAAAATGATCTTTATCAACTTTTTGACTAGATTTGGTAATTGCTTTAACCTTTGGAATTTATTTGCTTTTATTTTGAATTAAATAGTCAGAACGTCTACATATTGTTGCTTTAACGAAAGTGAGTACTTACAAAACTTATTAACTCAATAATAATCTGAATAATTGTTAATTTGATATATTTTCAGTTGTTAATTTGATATATTTAATGTTGAATTTCCAAACTTAAAAACTTATTACCGCTCGTGTCATAAAAAAAAAACAATTATAAAGGGTAAATTGTATAATGTATCTGACTTATATGCAAAAAATAATAATAATAAAATTGCTTACATGTAAAAGACAAATTATTGTTAATGGAATAATTATTTATGCTGTCATCCACATCAATATTATATTTCCCCGTTTAATCACAATGTTATAATTAGTCTCCTAGTACATGTTAGCCTAATATTATCATTACTCTCCCATCAATATTTAGATATTGCACAAGTACATGTGTTTCAATCATTACATATAGTTTATAATATAAACCCAAAAATTGTACATGAATAGAATGTAATGAATATTTTAGTATTTTGATCTAAGGAGGGAATGAACCCCAAAAACAAAGACACCATTATGTTGAATCAATATTTCAATATTGAAATTAACATTAATTATAATGTAAAAAAAATATAAGTCTTACACGATATTGTTACTCGTGGTACAATCATGTATGATACTTGAATTATATCAGTAACTCACAATATATACATACCAAATGCAATTACATATTCTATAAATGTTATTGTCAATATACGTGGTTGTACGTAATATAAAATGTGTCAATGCTAATTAACACTTTAAAAAGTTGTCTATATGATTCACGATGGGATGCCGGTGCTAATTAACACTTTAAAAAACTATCTAAATAACTTACAGGGTGCTAATGTTAATTAATACTTTAAAAAGCTATCTATATAATTCGCGATAGAATATTGATATTAATTAATACCTTAAAAAGTTATTTATATAACTCACGAGGTACTGGTGCTGATTAACATTTTAAAAAAGTTATATCTATATAACTTAAAATGTGTGAATAAGATAGGCATATTTCTTTCTTTTTAACTGTAGGTGTCATTTGAATTGTAAAAATTCGAATCTTATTATTACAACTTTAACCCCTCAAATTTCACTACTCCTAACAAGAGACTACACTTTAAAAATAGATGATGACGAGACGGGGCAGGGCAATTCCGACAATCAAACATATCTCTAACTGCAAAATAATTTCACAATCGCAAGTCTCTCTCTCTTCGGACCCAAGGTGGAAAGACATCTGTTGAAACGAAACTCCCTCCATTGAAGAGAAAGCAGCAGAGCTCTGTAATGGCGCAGTACTTACAGCTGCAGAGCACCAGAGGAATGCAGTAAATGTGAGTCAAGCGACCGGTCACAGTCCGCACAGATTGGTGAGCATTTTCGTGTTCCCATGTTACTGTTCGTATCACTGTTCACCAAATGTAGCCCGCTCGTTGAGCTCTCGGTTTCACGATTTCACCTTTTTAATGGTGCTATTTTACCGTATATTCATCAGCGATTTTGCTTCTCCACTACGTATTTTATTATCTGTTCTGGATTCAGTAGTTGAGGTTGTTCAGCTCACATTTCTCTCAATTTTCTATATCTGTGCTCTTTGTACGACGCACTTCACGCACACGTTTAGGCATTGAGCTCTTTAGGAAATTATGTGTTTCTTCTTTTAGATGTGAACGAGATTAGTTTCTGTGATGGAGATGCGAATATGTATATAGACAGAGAAGCGGGCAGAGAGCTAGCTCCCATTGCCTCAACCTACAGCTTTTAGGCTTCTTTCAAATCATTTCACTGTAATTTTCAACTTGAATTCTGTGTTGTAAGTCTGTCAATAACCCCTGGCTCATGCGTTTTTTGGTATATTGCAGATTTGGTGGTTTTGGTGTGGTCCAAATGGGGGTTTTAGAGTGAAATTTCAACTTAGATGTCATTTCAATGCTTTGTTGGCTGCTTTTAGCTTTTCTGGGACACTAGGTACTTTATTGGAATTTTTGTATTTTGGAACTGGAAGGGGAGATTCCCTCAAAGAAAAGAAAGATCAGGAAAAAATAAAAATGGTTTGAGTTTCTTGATCTGGGAAACAGCTCATTTTAACTAAGATTTTTTTTTTTTTTTTTTTTTTTAAATTTTTTTTTTATTTTCCTAAAAACTGGTTTGACTAAGTAAAGTTTAGAGCACAGTCTATAAGGTGAAAGTTTGGAACATACATCTCTGTCATCTGCTGCAGTGTTGTTTCAGAAATCATGTGCGCAACTGTGGAGTCAAGTTGTAGTGAATGATATTTGGCATCAACCCTTTGGATTCATTTGGAAATCTCTGAAACAAAGGAGTCTCTATAGATAAGCTTGTTTCCTCTTGTATAGTAATTGATTGTGCCTGCTGTCTCTTCTTAGTTCTGTAGGTGGTTAAAAACTCTCATTCATTTGAGTAATCATAAGCAAAAATACTATTGAAGAAATCCCACTCCCCCAAGGCCTCATCTCCTCAAAAAATAATAAAAATGAAAAGTACTCTCCAGTGGACCTTTATAGCGCAGTTTTCTTGAGTTTCTAGAAAAATGTGTTTGCCCGTTAGTTAAGTGTCTTGTCATTTTTCATTGCAAAGAATCTTGTTTTGCATATATGTATTGTGATGGAATAGTGAGTTTTATGCGTGGGAATCACAACTCAGTTTGGTGGGGGCAGTTTTTACAGTAAATACTGTTGTGTTTTCTTGTTGTTTCATATAGACTTATGGACACTTCAGTGGTTTCTTATTTTTATATTCTGTTGTCCATATCAAGATAATGGTGGGCTTTGCTACTTGCGCGCTGGTTCTGTTGAAGCTCTGAAGGGTGTTCAGGAAGCATTTGTTCAGTGCTAATGAGTCAGGAAGCGAAGAAAGGGAGACAGGATAAGGGTTCTAGTGTTATGGAAAAGGTTATGGTTGCTGTGAAGGCATCCAAGGAAATATCCAAGACTGCTCTTGTTTGGGCTTTGACACATGTTGTTCAACCGGGGGATTGCATTGCACTTCTGGTGGTTGTCCCTTCACACAGTTCTGGTAATTCAAATCTTTCTGTAGATATACTTCTTATTTTCTTAATGAATTCTGTGAACCAAATTTGATTGTTTACAAACATTGATACTTCTATACTTCATTCTGGGTATCACATGGATAATTGTTGATGTATTCTATTAGCAAGTCTATGCTCTATTGATAGTTGCACTGTATTGTTGAATAGCAAAACTAGCTTGTTATTGTTCAAGTTCAGATTATTTTATTTTTATTTTTCTTAAAATTGTAATGGTATCTGTTATCATACTTTAGGTAGAAAATGGACATTTCCAAGGTTTGCAGGAGATTGTGCCAGTGGCCATCGAAGGTCGCATACTGGAACTAGTTCTGAGCAGAAATCTGACATATCTGATTCCTGCTCCCAGATGATCCTTCAGCTCCACAATGTTTATGACCGAAATAAGGTTAGCTCATCTAAGAATTAATCTGGAGAGATGTCCTTGAGTATCACTACATAATAATGAATTGACTTTTCTTGCCATTATGATGCCCAATCAGATAAATGTCAAGATTAGAATTGTTTCTGGGTCACCATGTGGGGCTGTGGCTGCCGAGGCAAAGAGGAGTCAAGCTAACTGGGTTGTCTTGGACAAGTAATACTTATACCTTTTTTTAGTGTTCTTCAATTATGTGGTTTGTATTTCAATTTAAATATAATCTCTTCATTTTGTGCCATTTTGAGCTAATTCATCTATGTTTAAATCTTTTTAGGCAGCTCAAACATGAGGAAAAACGATGCATGGAAGAGCTGCAGTGCAACATTGTAGTAATGAAGCGATCCCAACCAAAAGTTCTTCGCCTTAATTTAGTTGGATCATGTAAAAGGGATACTGAACCTGCCAGTTCATTACCTCCAGAACAATCTGAATCAAGTGAAAATCATGATGTAGACAAGAATCATTCATTGAATTCTACTCGGGGACAACTTGTAACTCCCACAAGTAGTCCAGAGATATTCACTGCGACTGAAGCTGGTACGTCATCAGTTTCTAGTTCTGATCCAGGAACTTCTCCATTTTTCAATGCTGAAGGAAGTAGGGATGTGAAAAAAGAGGAACTCTTAGGTACAAAAGATCACAATGACAATGACTCAGGTTCAGAGAGTGATAGTGAAAAACTGTCTTGTTCCTCAAGTGTAAGGTTCCATCCATGGATGGCAAATATAGTCAATCCACAGTGTCAGTCCTCCCAACAGCTGCAGGAAAGCACTGTTAGATGTAGTAGTCGAGCTCAAAACTCTACAGCAAAGACTATGCTTGAAAAGTTCTCTAAAAATGATGAAGAAGGTGGATTTGGATCACCAAGCTTTAGGTCTGACCTGGATTTCACTGCAAATGTGCGAGATGCAATTTCACTATCCAGAAGTGTGCCTCTTGGCCCTCCCCCCTTGTGTTCAATTTGTCAACACAAGGCACCTGTGTTTGGTAAACCTCCTAGGTGGTTCAGCTACGCCGAGCTTGAACATGCAACAGGAGGATTTTCTCAAGCCAATTTTTTGGCTGAGGGTGGATTTGGCTCTGTTCACAGAGGAGTGCTCCCAGATGGGCAGGTAGTTGCTGTCAAACAACATAAATTGGCAAGTTCCCAAGGGGATCAGGAATTTTGTTCAGAAGTAGAAGTTCTTAGCTGTGCTCAGCACCGCAATGTCGTTATGTTGATAGGATTCTGTATTGAGGATAGCAGAAGGTTGTTAGTCTATGAATACATTTGCAACGGATCTTTAGATTCCCATCTATATGGTATGTGATCCTCCTACCTTGTACATCTTTTATTCTATTATTCTGCATTGCAAATTTAATTAGGATTCTATTACCCTCCAATGATTTTATCTTCAATAAGTAACTGCAACTCTTTACACGGATGGGTTGCTTTGCATGAGCAACACATTTACAGTATAAATCTATGAACTTCATCTTTGTGTGTTGTGTTTTTTTTCTAGTGATTCAGTTTCTGTGGGTAGAAAGAGTGTTTTAATTTCTACTTTATTCATTAAGATTGCCTGAATTTTGTGGCTGGAACTAAAAGATAACCCATGCATTGGTGTATTCAGGACACAACCAAGATCCCTTATTGTGGTCTGCTCGTCAAAAAATTGCTGTTGGAGCTGCAAGAGGACTTCGCTATCTTCACGAGGAGTGTAGAGTAGGCTGCATTGTTCACCGAGACATGCGGCCCAACAACATTCTTATCACCCATGACTTTGAACCACTGGTATATCAAATTCATATTCTGCTACTCTGCTAGTTTAGCTGAATGTTTTCTATACATGCAACTGTGCAATACTGTACATATGAGATTTTTTTTTTTTTTTTTTTGTGATGAATATTATTACTCTACTATTTATTACCCTAGGCAGAAAATGAATGGACTGTACTTCCTCTGTTTGATTTGTATGTCATAGTACACATCTGGTTCAGTTGATTATTTTGCTGTCATAAACTCATAATCTATGTTAGTCTTCATCAGTGGTAATGATATTTGCATTGTATTGAGACTGTTCTTCTGTGTGCAAGGTTGGGGACTTTGGCTTGGCCAGGTGGCAACCTGATGGAGATACCGGCGTTGAAACACGGATCATTGGGACATTTGGGTGTGTGCTTATAAATGTTTCCTTTTCGTGTGGATTATTTTATGTATGCCTAGACAACTAACTGAAATGGCTTGCTTTGTTCAGGTACTTGGCTCCTGAGTACACTCAAAGCAGCCAGATCACAGAAAAAGCTGATGTTTATTCATTTGGTGTGGTCCTCGTGGAGCTTGTTACTGGACGCAAAGCAGTAGATCTTAACAGGCCCAAAGGCCAGCAGTGTCTCACAGAATGGGTTTGTTTCATTGCACTTTTCTCTTTCTCAACTATGGATTATGAATGCTTTTACACATAGAGTGTATGCTCCGATTTCAACTCAATTGCTGCCTTTAACTCTTAACAGGCCCGCCCATTGTTGGAAGAGTATGCCATCGAGGAACTAATAGATCCCCGGCTAGCAAACTGTTATGATGAACACGAGGTTTATTGCATGTTACACGCTGCATCCTTGTGCATACGTCGGGATCCTCAAGCAAGGCCTCGCATGTCTCAGGTAACTCTAAAAGACCTTATGTGCTACACGTGGTTATGTAGTTTCCAACATGAGTTATATCCTTGCACAAGTTCTCTTTCTAAGAACCCGAACAACTGTTTCACTGTTCGTATCATCATTGAATGCAACTCTCCCCCGATTGTATCAGACGGGTATATATATCTGTCTCATTTCAAGATTGTAATGCTGCCTGCATTCATTGTGAAGGTGCTTCGCATGCTTGAAGGGGACCTCATAATGGACTCAGGTCGAATGTCAACACCAGGGCAGAGCAGAAGGATATGGTCAGATGCCTCACCACAGTATCAAAGATACAGCGGCCCTATATTAAACGAGGTGTTGGAGGGGTTTAACCCCAAGCTCTCATTTGAAACAACTAAAATTCCTGGGTGGGAGAAAGATGAAGACATTACCAGAACTTCGTGCGAAGTAACTGTTTCGCATGGTATTGCAGAATTCTAATGGATAATATATGCAGGTTGTTTAAGTAGGCGGGTGGTTTGGTTTATGTATACAAGTGATAATAGTGTTCATGGTTTGTGTAATTCAGCTGGAATTGGAAAGCAGTTGTCTTTTCCTATTGAGTTTATAATAGTTTCTAGTGCTCCGAAGGGAGTGGTTGAGCAGACCGATCAAAAAATTATAAGTCAATTCTTGTCAATATTCTATTGGTTAAATCTGTCACATAGTGTCTGTCGTATTTGATTTACTTCTGATGTGTAATTTACTAATTATTACGTAGTTCATAGTGAATTTGAAAGAGGTATTTTTCTGATGTGTAATTTACTAATTATTACGTAGTTCATAGTGAATTTGAAAGAGTATTTTCCTGGTCACTAAAAAAGATCAATGATTATTACCAACTGCAACAGCCCACGTTAAACAGATTGTGGGCTGAAGGAAAATGTTCAAATAAAAAAAAAGTTGAAATATGTCAAATGACCATATTATTATGAGAAGACATCACACATTCATTGGTTTTGTCATCTTCATCTTGTCACTTTCCATCTTCTGGATGAAGCTGTCAAATGGGCTGAATCTTGTAAATATCTAATTAATAAAGAAGAATAATGATTTTTTTTTTCAAATGTCGATTAGTATAATTGCTTTTCGTATCAAGTATAATTATAATGATATATTTATATTTAATATTATCTAAATATCATATACGGAGTATGATTATACTTAGTATAAAAAAAATCGTAGTAGTTGGTTTCCAAATTCCCGAAAATGATATTATAAAATTATAAAATATAACTTAAAGCACTAAGCAATCTAGTCCCTTCCATACATTGCCCACCTAGTCGCCAAATTTGGTGCTTCCGTCACACTTTTGAAACTGCTTCCGTTTCTTTTTCAGTTAAAGATGATTGAGTCATACCAATTATTGCATAGATTAGTGGAACTAAATTCACTCTAAACAAAAAATTTATCATATAATAGAAAAAATCATAGGAAGTATTTTTTTTTTTTTTTTTTTTTTTTTACATAATTTAAATCATTTTATAGAGTTTTTGAAAGAAATGACAATCTTAATGTAGTATAATTCTTGTATTAAAAAGTCACATTTTTATATAATTTACAAATCATTACACAATTTATAGAATAAATTGAAATTTATCAAGTAATTTAATTATTGATTATTAACTTAAGTCAGCTAATTCACCATTCGTTTTTATTTTTTAAATCTTATAGACAATTTAAAGAAAGGTTACAATGTCGATCCGCACTAGTAATGATTGCAACAGTTACAATTCAAAAAGCTTTGAAATTGTACCGAGCATGATGAAGATAACGTTCTATTGCACCTAGTACAAAACTTGGTGTAATCAACACCTTAAAATTTCCTGGCAATTTAACATTATTACCAATAGGAATAGTTTAAATAGGGGAAACGTAGTATTTTTTATTTTTTTTTTTAAAGAATCTTTAAAATTGTCTTGAAATGGGTAAAGGCGGTTGGATGCCGACATTTTGTGATATACTAGTATCTACTAATAACACAACAAAATGTCATCTCACAAGAACTATGCTCAACTGCTCAAGTAATGATATTACTTAGATTTTTTTATTTTTTTTTTGGTAATGATAAAAGTTAAGCAATTAATATCTCATCCTCTCTGCCGAGATTGGCTGATATAAGTGTTAAATATATTTTAAATTTTCAACTAGAGATGTAGCTCATTAAATAAGAAAAAAAAAAAATCTTAAAGAATCTCATATGGTAGCAATGCATTTAGCCTTTGACTTTATAAGGGTTGAACTTCAAGTGTAATCAACAAGAATAATTGTTTTGAAAAAGAGAGAAAAAATCTATTAGAAAGGTGTTGAACTGTTGAGGAATCATGGATTAACTTTGGAGTTTATTTCTTACAAAATTAAAGCATAAGAAATTTACAACAAAAAGCACAAGAAATATGAGAAAATTAACAACAAACAAATGAACAATCGTTAACAATTCAAAGCAAATAATGGTGGAACGAAAAAATTAAAAGTGAAAACTAAAACATACTTGGAATACAGAATACAGCACACTAAGACGACGGAGCAGATGGAGCGTGGCCGGCTAAGAAAGCGCCGGATTCCTCATCGGCGAACAAATCATCGGTCTTCCTGAAAGCACCGTGGACCAAAACAACCACGGCTCCGACCAGCAGCGAAATGAGGATATTGGCGGTGGCGTTTGTGAAGAGGAGCAGAACGATTGTAGCGACGGAGAGAACAATCAGCACCACGCGGTCGTTAATCAAGCGGCCAACGATGATCAGCGGCTCGTCGCGGAGGAAGTAGAGGAAGAGCCACGCCGCCATGAGGGCGACGAAGACGATGAGCGAGATCGGGTGCCAGAGGAGGCTGAGGAAGAGAATAACGAGGACTACGAGGGCGTAGTTCATCCGGAAGTAGGCGAGGTTCGTTTTGATCCGCGAAACGGCGTCGTGGAAGTTCGAGGGCAGGCCGATAGAGTGGAAGTTGAACATCTCTCGCCACGGCCGCCGCATGCCTAGCCCCTCCTTTATCCGCTCCTTCGTGCGGGAGATGTACTCCAAGCTCGCGCCGGCAGAGGAAGACGTCGGAATTGTGCCGTATGTCGTCATATTTTCCGGCGAATTTCGGACTGCTCAAGGAGGAGAGACGGTGTGATGCGATGCACAGAATAATTTACTTGGTTTCCCTATATAGCGTGACCGGAAATGTGTCTATCTTTGCTTGGTTGACTTTGGTGGGACCCAAGCAATTCTGTCGATTAAAGATCTGAAAGAATCAACGGTTCTGATGGATGGGCGTTCACGGTTGCGGCATGAGTGTGAGCACTGCGAAGCTGACCGTAAAAAAATCCGTTAGGACACGGATGGTATATTGGTATATGTCTAATCATGAGGATACGGGACAACCTGAGTCAAATTGATTAACCGTGATTTGAAATTATAAAATATTAAAATTACAAGTTCTACCATATTGAGATTTCTATTTAACTTTCTTGATTTAAGTCAATCAGTTATGATTTATTTCTTTACAATTCTTTACTGGTTAGAGTTACAATTTATGGTGCACGCCTTCGAATTTTAGTTGCAAATTTCCCTCATCAACCATTGACTTTCTTAATTTAAATTGATCAATTATGACTACCTATTAACCTTCTTAAATTGAGAAAGTCAGCAATTAATAACTTAAATTAATTTACCTCTTTATGACTCCTTACTCGAGATTATAAGACTAATCAAGTAATATGTACGTTGGTCCACGGGATAAGGAATGTTTTTAATTGAATGGATACAAACACTAGGCCCAAGAAGTTGGGTAAAGATTGGGCCATGGCCCATTGTGGGAAAAGGAATAGCTGTAAGTAATGAAAAAGAAATAATAATAGCGCACTTTAGTGTCGTGGGGACGACGATGAGATATAGACGGAGAGATCGGAACGAGGGCCGGCCACTTCCCCCACGTGCCCCTGTCTAAAGCTACAAATCAATTAGTGTTTATTAAGTCATAGTACATCCCGTTGGTCTATTTTCCCCATAAATTATTAATTAAGTTTTAACATATAAAATTATAAGAATTTTAATTATTATAAATAAAAAATATGATGTTTAATGATACTCAAAATTGATATAATCATGTATTGTATTAAATAAATAGTATTAACGCATCTACAATTTCTTCTTTTTCCTTTTCTTTTTAAAAATAATTTGAAGGCGACCGGAAGATTGTGGAAGGATGACAATCATTAGACGCCAAGCCAAGAGACACCTTTTTCTTCTTTCATGTGATAGACTTTTTGAGTTATTATTGGATATGAGCTTTTTAAGTACATAAAATAAATTGTTATAAAAAAATACATAAAATAAATTGTTAAGTAGTTAAATTGTATCTTTGTGGCTCTTACGGATAGTATTTATTCTATATTTTTTTTATCTATTGTAATCTAAAGAGTCAATACCCCACCATGAGAGTTTGATCCAGTGACCTTTCATAAAAAAGAGTCACAACAGTGACATCTGAGTACTAGGTACTTGGCTATGATTTATGTGTGAACATATATTACATTGTAATAGAGTTAGTACATAAAATAAATAAATATAAAGATGTCTTGATACAAAGAATAATAGAAAGTTATGCTTTGGTAATATATTTAATATTTTATTTTTAAATGCTTGTTATATTTGACTATGTTTTAATCTTGTGGATGAAAAAAAAAAAAGAAAAATAGCAATACTCAATAAAATTTATGAAAAATGGGGATGATTTAAATCTTAAATGAGAGAGAAAAAATGGGAGTAAAATAGAGTCATAGGTCGCAATCCACTTGGCGAACCTCTTGCTCTAAGTCTCTAACAAACAAGGGGGCGCAAGTGCTCGAAACAAGTCTGCGGTAGTTTGAACTAGAATTGGTCTCGCCTTTTCTTTTCTTATTTGAGTGTTCTCCTCTTACTAATTGTTTCAAAAAAAATATTAATGAATATTTCAGTCGAAATTTGGAAAAGTATATTTATTTGGTAAGTATTTACCGGGCCAACAACATTCACGTGACTTATATTGTCACTTTATTATTGTCCTTCGGCTTTTGTTTCACCTTTACGTCGTAATGTCCTATTTTATCCACCCACCTTCTAATCACATTTTTCAAAGTGGGGTCGACTTGGGCCATTATTCACATTTAATTATTACACTATTTGTCTGGCCCAACTTAAGAGACCGGCCCAATAAATCATGAAACCCCTATGGCCCATTGGGCTTTTAGTTGAAATTTATCACTTTCTTTATCATTAATGGGTGAATATACCAGGCCTAATTAACCGAATCCAACCTAACCATAAGATGGACTTAGCTTAGCCCTTTTATTGGCCTTGCCTCCACGTGGCCCAAGGATTGTTGCATCATGGTAACATGGTTGTACTAACTATTTGTATTTAAAAAGATTTGATTGACTCGGACATTGGTTTAGTAGATGAAAAATTTCACTTTAAAATTTATTTTGAATTTAAAATGAGCTCATTTTATGCAGAAGTATATAATTTGATGTTAAGTTTCAGAATCAGACTCAGTTTATCTTCTCATTAGTACAACTTGAAATATTAAAATAGCTCTTGAGCGACGTTGAGGCAACAATCCAATCACGATGGCTTAAAAAGGTTATTGCGCCTATACGGGCAGCTCAATTGCTCACATGAGTAAAGTTTGGAAAGAATGACTAAGGATCGAGTCTCACCAGCCATAGTGTGAGAGTAATCTCTCAAAGTAGGGGTGTTCCCAGATGCTTTGTTAGGTGGGGTTGATGATTAACCTTAAGGAAGAATTAAAAAGGTTAATGTACACTACTTTAAATGAAGTTGAAACTTGAACTCATTATACTAAGTACTAACCTATTAAAAGAGCTGTCTCAAATAAGACTCGATCAAAAACCCGACTAGTTTAGTAATATTCGGTACAACCAAGTCCACAAAGCTGAGGCACACATGGGGGGTTAATGCCTTCCACATCTATCACAAAGAAAACTTCAACTTAAAGAAGACACTAAGTCATACGAACTAAAGAGTTGCCTCTACGATTAACCATCCACTTCTTCACAAGATTCTCCAACCTCTCATCCCCATTACAAGTTTCCACACGCATCTATCTTTGATTACAAAAAATGCACACCTATCTGTACTGTCCATTAAAAAAAAATAACAGATTTACCTACCTTCATATATCCACATGCCTAACCATCTTCTTTCAGAACTATTTCAAGAACCTGCAAACTCTAGTGTCATCATCCCATTTTCTGACAGAGACAATAAACAATGGAGCAGAAGTTTCTCCATGGAATGCTCGAGGTGTCAATCTTTCGGGCCACGATGAGCAAACCATCCGTGCCCTTCAAAGTAAGTCCCTGCATGGCTGCATTTACAATCCGCAAATGCATGAAAGTTTTGTAATTTCTGTTCTGTTGAGTTTGTTTCATATAGAGATTAGGAATATGAGTTTATCTAGAAATATAAGTGAAGCGGTGAGAATTAAAAGAATAGTTTCACTTCCATGGACGTAAGCACATTGCCAACCACCATGTAAATCTAGTCTTCTTTACTTTCTGTCATTATTATTGTTTCTTGTTCTGGTTAATCTCAACATGATAATCTTGTTTCTCTGCAGTGTATTTCTGTGAGTGGGAAGCCTGCATATGTGACAATCAAGCTGGGAAACCAGAAGGTGGCTAAAACCAGCAGCGAGCGTGACCGGGTATGGAACCAGACATTCCAGATTCTCTGTGCTCATCCTGCCGACACCACAGTCACGATCGAGCTGAGAACGAAGTGTTCTGTGCTGGGGAGATTCGATTTCCAAGGCGATCGCCTTTTGAATGGCGAGAGTTTGATCGAGGGGTTCTTCCCACTGAAAATGGAGAGTGGGAAGGCAAACAAGAAACTGAAGTTGCAGTTCATACTGTGGTTTAAGCCTGCAGAATATGAGGCAAGTTGGGGGAAGGCATTGGAGAATGGTGGATTCATGGGACTGAGGAATGCTACTTTCCCACAAAGATCAAACTGTTCTGTCACACTGTACCAGGATGCTCACCATAAACATGAATTCCAACCGCCATTCGCGAAACCAAAGAATTTGTGGGAGGATATATACAAAGCCATTGATGGTGCAAAACATCTGGTGTACATTGCAGGCTGGTCTTTCAATCCAAACATAGTCCTAGTAAGTGCAACAGGCTCTGATACCATGTTAAGGTCAAACCATACTAAAAGATTGAATTAGCTAGTCTAATACATGGCCTTATAAACCTATATGTTCTCTCTTATTTTATCAATGTGGACTCTTAACAGATATATTCGCCAGGTTCGCGATCCCCAGACAGAAATTCAGCAAGCTAGAGGAGTGAAGCTGGGAGAGTTGCTGAAGCTCAAAGCAGAAGAAGGTGTGGCAGTGAGGGTTATGCTGTGGGACGACGAAACATCCTTGCCAATCATCAGAAACAAAGGGGTGATGGGCACACGAGACGAGGATTCATCAGCATATTTCAAGAACACGAAAGTGGTCTGCAAATTGGTTCCCAGATCACACCACAAGCTGCCATCCTGCTTTGCACATCACCAGAAGACCATAACAGTGGACACCAGGAAGAACCCAGGCTCAAGTGCTAGAGAAATCATGTCATTTCTCGGTGGTTTGGATCTATTCGATGGGCGCTACGATACACAACAACATTCGCTCTTCCACACACTCAACGCAGAATCCCACTGCTATGATTTCTACCAAACAAGCCTCCCAGGAGCCAGCATCCACAAAGGAGGGCCAAGAGAGCCATGGCATGACACCCATTCTTGTGTCACAGGCCAAGCTGCACTTGATGTTCTTAGCAATTTCGAGCACAGATGGATAAAGCAATGTGACCCTTCATTTCTGGTCCCAATAACCTCCATACCAGAACTCAATAACAATCAAACCGACCTCGATTCCTCTGAAAGGGATTGGAAAGTTCAAGTCTTTAGATCCATTGATCATGTGTCCACAACCCCTTTGCCAAGAAACATGCCAGTAGAGAGCAGCATCCAAGAAGCCTATGTAGAGGCCATCAGGCGTGCAGACCGGTTTCTATACATCGAGAATCAGTATTTCATCGGTGGATGCCATCTCTGGGAGCAAGACCAGAACTGTGGCTGCAGAAACTTAATCCCTGTGGAAATAGCACTAAAGATTGCCAGCAAAATCAGAGCAAACGAGCGGTTTGCAGCCTACATCGTGATGCCAATGTGGCCAGAAGGAGCCCCGGAGAGCGATTCAGTTCAGGATATACTGCACTGGACTAGAGAAACAATGAAGATGATGTATAGGATAATAGGTGAAGCCATAGCAGAAAGTGGTAGCCATGGCCACCCCAGAGATTACTTGAATTTCTTCTGCCTTGCTAATCGAGAAGAAGTGATCAAGGGAGAGTTTATACCTCCCTACTCTCCTCACCCTTCATCTCACTACTGGAAGGCTCAGAAACACAGGAGATTCATGGTTTATGTCCATTCCAAGCTCATGATAGGTATGATAACCTTAGCTTCCTCAAAAAACTTAACTTTATCAGTGGAATCAAAGATACATAACTATTGTTTCTTTGTTCCCCAACCTTTTTCAGTGGATGATACATACCTGCTAATAGGCTCAGCCAATGTGAACCAAAGATCCATGGATGGACAACGAGACACAGAAATCGCGATAGGATGTTATCAGTCAAGGAGTGAAGAAGCAATGATAGATCATGGAGACATTCATGCATATAGGATGTCATTATGGTATGAACACACTGGAAAAGCAGATAGAGAGTTCCTAGAGCCTCAGAATCTGGAATGTGTGCAGAAGGTTTGTTCCATTGGAGAGAAGATGTGGAAAATATACAGTTCAGATGATGTCACAGACATGAAAGGTGTCCACTTAGTCAGTTATCCTGTTAGCATAACAAGAGAAGGTCATGTTGAGGATCTAATGGAGATTAATGGTCATTTTCCAGACACAGAAACACCAGTCAAAGGAAAAAGATCAAAAGTTCTTGCCCCTATGATAACAACATAAGCCAATTGTAGGGGCAACCCAGTCAAGTTGGTCAGACTGTTGACTTGGTAACCGGAAGGTTACAAGTTTGACTCCCAACAGCCTATCTGCCTTCTTGGTCTGAGCTGGTCAGCTATGGACAACCTAGACTGGTTTACCTCCTTGTCACCCGAAAACATAAGCCAATTGCCATATCAATGTGTTTCTGTCATGGTTCACTTCAAAGACAAAAGCCTACTTTTCATTATTCCTAGGTTTGTGTAATTGTGTATAGGCACATTATAGTGCAATATATCTGACTGTTCACTGTAAAGATTACACAAAAATAAAGAGAATTTTAATGATGTCAGTTTTTTTTTTTCTTTGAATTTTATTATCAATTAATCATACTTGAACAAATACTGGGGGGTTACAGCTAGAGAACTAATTCAATCAACAGTTACAATTTTTTGGCATTTAATTCTACAGACTATAGTGATGTAAAGATAAGCCTTATGAAACCTCTTTTCATGGAAAAATGAAGATAGGATTTAGCACAAAGTTACCAGAGGCATGGCTGCAGATACTTCTTTCACTCTCCAGTGTCCTGATTGGTTTCCATATCGGCTCGTCCCTTCATAGAGAAAATAAGGTTAGTCTATTACTGGTAGTACAGTGTCCCGTTTCAACTAAAAGTTTAATATTTTATATATATTATGCTCAATGTTGTCATAGGATGTTGATATGATCTGTCATCCTTGTATCTGTACTAGGTTGATGTCCTGAAACTTGTGGCCTTATCAGAAGATCAGACTCCAAAATGCTTACCTGCAGCTTTCAAAGCAGATAACATACCTAAAGTAACAGTAAATCTTGATTAGTTATGATTTGGTTTTACCATGAGTATCATTTTTTCATTCTTGGTTTATTTGTTGATCTTAATTCTTAATAGATATTCGCCAGAACAAATCCCCGCGGTGCAGAAAGATTGCCCCCTGGGATTGTGCAGCCTTATTCGAGTTTCAGGTTCAATAATGGTGCAGAAAAGCCTAAGTACCTACTAACAGTAACAGCTGGAATGGAACAAAAAGACACAGTTAACAAGATTGTCTCTAAGGTTTGTGTAAGTTAAGGTTATCCACTAGCTGTTGTTATGCTGCATTCCTCATTGGCTCCTCACATGTTGATGGGTTTTAGTTCTCTGAAAATTTTGCAATTGTGTTATTCCATTATGATGGAAGGGCGAGCGAGTGGGATGAATTTGAATGGTCGAATCGCGCCATTCATGTCAGTGCCAGAAAACAAACCAAATGGTAACTAATTTAACTGCCACAATCTTCACTGCAAAATCACAGCAGCATTGAGTTTATAAAGATTGTATTTTTCCTGAATATATGCAGGTGGTATGCGAAACGCTTTCTCCACCCGGGAATTGTAGCCCAATATGAGTATATATTTATCTGGGATGAAGATCTTGGGGTGGAACACTTCAATGCAGATAGGTAAGAGAAACATCCTTAATTGACAGGAAACATGGAACAGTTCACTGTTTCATGAACTGACAATTTGTAGCCATGATGTTCTGTGTTGTTTAGGTACATTGGGCTGGTCAGGAAACATGGATTGGAGATATCACAGCCTGCAATTGTATCAAAGAAAGGCTTGACATGGCTGATGACAAAGAAGAGGCGCAATGTTGAAGTGCATAGGTAGCTGAGACGTATTTTTAGTTGAGACAGAACACATATGTTCTTCGGGTTTCCTTTAACAGTGTCATCATTCTTGCAGGAGGGTGAAGGAAGTATGGCCTGGCCAGTGCCCTGACCCAAATCTGCCTCCCTGTGCAGGGTACACCAGCTGCCTTCAATTCTGTAAAACTAAAACTTCTTAAACAACATTTACAATATACAATAATGTCATTTGTCGGTAATCCTAGCCAAGTTGGTCAAGTTGTTTGACTTGGTAACCACAAGGTTATAAGTTCGATTCCCTCTTGATTTGAGCCGGTCAGCTATGAGCAACTTAGGCTGGTTTATATCTTTCACTTTTTTGTGGTCTTTTGCCGGTTAAGGTTATAAGGCAGGGTTTACAGAGTTGCGGGTTTCCCTTGTCAATCAAAAATAATGTCATTTGTGATTATAGGTTTGTGGAGATCATGGCACCAGTATTCTCCAGAGAATCATGGAGCTGTGTTTGGAACTTGATTCAGGTGTTCATTTTATGATTAAGCTCAGATAAATACTTGTTCTTGAGCCATTATTTCTTGATTCTATCTGGAAATCTTGTTTCTGCAGAATGACTTAGTGCATGGATGGGGTCTTGATTTTGCCCTGTGGAGATGTGTAGAAGTAAGGACACAAGATTACACCCGTGCTCACTTCATTTCTCCAGTTTTCCATTATTTTTCTAGAAAAATTGAAAAAAAAAATCAATTTTACTTTCCTACAGGTCTTAATTTTTCTTGGTTTATAACTTGCCCTTTTTTATGTGCAGAATGCACATGAGAAGATAGGAGTTGTAGATGATCAATGGATAGAGCATTTGGTCCTACCCTCACTTGGAAACCAAGGAGAGTCCATAGATGGAAAGCAACCATGGCAAGGGGTAAGAATATTGAAAAAAATGCAAAAACATTACACAATTAAACTACTTATCATCAAATCGTAAAGTTTCTTGACTGATCGACCCTAACCACTTGAAGGTCCGAGCAAGGTGCTTCAAGGAATGGAAAGAATTTGAAAGGAGGATGGAGCAAGCAGAAAAGAATCAGTCCAGGTGGAGATCACATTAGGAGAATGAACAATTGGACCTTCAAACAGCAAGCATGCATGGCTGCAGCCTTGAGATGATGAGTATTCAAATAATGCACAGCTTAGAAATGTTCATGAAAATAGAAATGACATATAAAATGTCGGATTGAACAATAGCATGTGCGGTTATTATTACATATTTAGTTAGACAGACCAAAAACTATGGTTGCTTGTTTTGTGCTCTATTTTAAACCGTTTAAAATTGTCCACAATTTGACTACAAATGTTATATTTAATATAAATCATTTTTTGCTGAATATTCGCAAAGAATATTCTATTAGAACCGTGCACGCTCGTCCAAAAAATTTCTTGATGCAAATTATAGACCAAAGAATGAGAGCAACTCTGATCAAGTTGGTTAAACTGTTAATCACAATTTTTCAAATTCAATTCTTAACGAGAACAACTCACTAACTTTCTTGGTTAAATTCGGACAGTTATAGATAATTTAAATTTCTTTTTGGGTATATCCAAGATTTTCACCATTTCTTGGTTAAATTCGGACAGTTATAGATAATTTAAATTTCTTTTTTGGTATATCCAGGATTTCCACCATCAACACATACTAATCCCCTAGCGAAATTTAAAACTGCTCCATTCTCCATTCGAACTCTTAGCTTTTGGTTAAAGATGAATGAGTCTCTTCCACTCAACCACACCTAGGGTATAAAAATCCTAAATTGGTTTAATTTATAGAATGCAAATTATTTCTCAGGTAACGTGTCAGAATTGATCCAGGAGAAACAAAATATCATTTGTGCGGTTTTGAGATTATCCATGTCTTTTACCCCATCACATCAACTTCCATGGCAATAATTGCAGCTATGCTGTACAGATGCCCATGAATGATTGATTGCGCAATGTATATCAGCTTATCTTCCAGTCAGAGTGTCAGTATCCCATTCTTGTCCACAATCTCCTTTTGGTCTCTGTAAAATATTAACTGTGAAAAAACTTCAACAACATTGAATGTGACTGTTCTTCTGCACCATACCAGCTAGGGAATGAATCGTTCTGGTTCTGGTTCTAGTTCATCTTCCTGGGTAAAAAAAAAAAAAAAAAAGCTCACATTTTCAATACTATATCTTGAACCTGAGATTCTTTGCTTTCTGGGCGATTTCATTTTGAGGATTGTGGTTTCTTTGGGCGCAGAGACGGAGAGGATCAAGTTCGCTCGACCTGTGCACGGCGGTTTTCACGCCATTCATCGCTCTGGTTAGGGCTTTCTTCTTCAGCTTAGCCGGTTGCTTCCATTTCCGCCACCATTCCGATAAGCTCTCTTTCTCTCTCAATCATCTTGTTCGCCTCTCTCGTGACTCCCCTTGTACTACTTCCTTTTCTTTGAATATGCTAATAATGCAGTATGATTCTGGAATAATGAATTTGAAATCTGAGCTTTAAGGGTCTAATCTCTGGAACATATGATCAATGTTACACAGTTTCGGTTAATGAAATCGAGGCATTGTATGAGCTTTACAAGAAGCTGAGCAGTTCAGTGTTTGATGATGGCCGCATACACAAGGTATTCTCTTGGAACATTTGCTTACATTCTGAGCTAATTGCAGTTTATAGTTTGTGCATATCTGCATTTATGCTGTTTGAATCTTGATTGATCGAGTGTATATCATTGCAAGATTTTGATAATTATGGCTTCTTACTGTTGAGCATATAACCATTAATGTGCAATCCAACTATCAGCTTAAGCTTTTAGTCGAGATGGAGCACATGCTTCAATTCTTACTGTCATACATTATGTAATGATTTGCGTTTCATCCTTGATTTTCTTGTCCAAACTTTGAAGGAGGCGTTTCAGCTGGCACTCTTCAATACAAATACGAGGGAGAACATTATGCTGGATAGGGTACATTCTTGGGGCATAGAAACGTAGACTCTGAAGAACTTTTCTCAATCTGCTGAGGAAGTTTTGTTTATCGATTTTCTGTTGATGTTTGTCTTCCATCTAGGTATTTGATCTTTTCGATGAGAAGAGAAATGGAGTCATTGAGTTCGATGAGTTTGTTCACACACTGAGTATATTCCATCCCAATACTCCAACGGAGAAAAAGATTGATTGTAAGTATTGGAATAGCCTTACCATCATGCCCCGATGAAAGGCGTTCTTTACATTAACACTACATTTGTGTCTGGATTCTGGCAGTTGCGTTTGAGCTCTATGATTTGAGGCAAACGGGATACATTGGCCCAGATGAAGTGAGTATATTCATGAACAAACGAACAGCATGTCCTAATGAGTTTTTGTTGTATGGCAGACATTACCTAGTTTTGTCGAATTAGCTGAGTATGCTACTTAGTAGTTTGATGACATTTGCCTAGAACAATAACATTGATGTAGAATGTCACTAAGGGTAATCAGTTGTTAGGTCAGAAAAATGGTGGTTGCCATCTTAAAGGAGACCGGTGTATCTCTGTCAAGCGATGCTCTTGAAGCCATTATAGAAAAGGCAAGATTTTCTCTAGTGTTTTCTGCGTTTATTTCTGCAACAAGCTGATGGTGATTCTCTTTTGCAGACATTTGAGGATGCTGACAGTGATATGGATGGTAAGATCAACAAAGACGATTGGAGAACCCTGGTTGCTAGGCACCCGACTTTGTTGAAGAATATGACTCTTTCTCAGCTCAAGTAATGTGATCTCCCCTTCACACTTCTAACTACTTATGACTAAATATCCAATATATTGAACTAGCTAGCATACATTTGTATTTGGTTGGCTTAAGAACACACTTTAATCAACCCACTAAAACCAAAAAAATGGCGATTATTTCTCCATATTATTTTCTTTATCTAGGTAGGCTAAAAGGTTATGTGAGAAGCCGAGAAAGCCTAATCTCATCAAGATTGACTAATTCTCGAGTTTCACAGTGTTTTCAACTTGACTATTTGCCTGCAGGAATGTAACTACAGTGTTCCCTAGTTTTATATTCAACACTGAAGTTGATGACTGATGTCACATCATCCATGCATTTATGAAGGTATCTTCTTCTTCTTCTCTCGTTCTTTTCTTTCATATATATGTTATGTGGAGCAGTCTAATGTGTTTAACAGACCATTGATGAAAATGCAGGATTGCAGGTAAAGCATCCAACTGAATGCAGAAAGGATTAAAATGTCCAATTGTTGACAGATTGTAATATTTGGGAGGTTTATGTATTGGATTATTTTGTTCAATTTAATTTTTATATTTTTGTTGATTTTGTACTTCCAGAATTCTTAACTTTGCAAGAGGGACAAAGGGAATCATGCCAATTTCTAATATGATTTGTGATGAAAGCTCTCAGAAGTAAAATTGAAACAATACTACACAACCAACATAACAGAAAGGAGTGTTCTGTTCAACAGAAAGTACAATCTGAAGAGAAATCAAATCCAGCCTGTTAACTTCCAAACTTCACCAAATTCGGGCCATAAATTTCCATGGATTACGTTTATTTGATACTTACAAACTCGGGATGGACTTGGCTCTAATGAACTGTTTAAGAATGGCTTTTTCCTCGTCAATGCGTCTTTTCTCTTCAGGATCTTTTGGCTTCAGCTTTCTCTTCTCTTCCAGTATCCACTTGAATATCTCACGCTTATCATTATCTGATATTGGTTCCATAACAGGCTGCACTACGGGTGGAGTGACAAGCTTCTCAGCAATTTTAGTAGATTCGGTAGCAGTCACCAGGGGAGCACTAGGAACTTCTTCCATTTCTATGACAGGGTCTTTGTTTTTTGTCCTCATGTAAAGGTAGGCTACAAATTGTGTGAAATCAAGCCATTTTACCATGAAGATATAAAGATGAGTAAATAAATAAGAAAAGGTTGAATAACTTCCCAAGAAATAGTTCAAGAAAACTACAGCAGCCTTAAACAACTTGCAAAGATACAAATGTCACACTGATATAGATACAACCACAAGCAGTATACACAATAATTGATAATGTTATGGAATGTATAAAAGCAACACAAATTAAAGCAAGAAGTCTTATGGAGGAGTAAACATCATACTACCATAGCACAGGCAACTCTTATCCAAACCATCCCCATACGAGAATTATTGTTAATCAGGTGCATCATTTTGGACTAAAGAGATAATACTTCCAAGTAAAAAAAAAACAACAACAACAACAACAACTTTTACTTTACAATGGTAGTATGTTCCCGTAAGAGGTTTTAAGTCAAACACTAGACGCTAATACAAGGCAATGATGAAAAGGAGACTATCAAGCTTAAGTGGCATAAAGTCACTGGAAGGAATTTCTACTTGTCAATTCAGCCGGATTCAGATATCATGCCCATATATTTACTATGCTGGTCTAAGAACAAATATATAGAAAAAGGTTGAGCTCCCACATAATTCCTGTCTTTAGTGAAGTCTAACTTCTAAGTGAAGGCTCCGAATAGAATTCGCCAATTGGTAAGTTCTTCACTTTCCTAGTTAATAATAGCACATTGACAACACGGGAAAAAATCAAGGAAGATAGGTTTAGGATGGTGCATTAAGCATCCTCCCCCAAAGACATTGACTTAAAGAAAATGTTATAGCAGACTTCAGCTCTGGATGGACAACATTCTGCGTAAAAGATGAATACCAAATAGACGCCAGAGTCCATCCCTTAATACGGTGTTCACATAACAAGGTAAATATTATGCAAAGCAGTTTTATTGAATTCATTTGTCCACTAAATCAATAAATACTATTATAGCAAATAAATTCCCGATGATTCAAAATTCAAAAAACCACATTCATTTCCTTTACATAGAATATTCACATTCTTTGTTAGCTTTTAACATTAGTAGATGATCAGCAAATTAAACCATAACTGCTTGTAAGGTCTAGAAACACTAAGCAAGAATGAAATTTACAGGGCAGCAGATTCAACAAAGAACATTAACTGCATCTAAAGCAGACAAAGAGGTAAACAAGGTAAAAACAAACAAATTTCATGGTTTATCCTTTTTAAGAACGCTGATTTAAAAAATATGCACCCTCTAAAAAACACAAAGAAGTCCAATGGGATGTACAGAAGCTAACTCAGAACAGATTTCATTCAATTCAATTTTGCCTAATAGTAGGCAGAAAAACATGCCATCAAACCTAGTCAACAAACACTATAAGTGTAATTTAACAAGCAATGATCTATTACAAAGTCTCAAAACTTTCGGAATACAATTAACTTCATATCACATGGAAAAATTCACATACGCAGAAAATTAAATGAAAGAGAGAGAGGTGGAAGAGGAACCTCCGATAGAGAGATTAACGGCCAAGAGCATAGGCAACATGAACCTGTAACGCCGAAGGAACGGTTCCTTTGCCGGCGGAGAAGGTGGTGCGGGCTTAGTCGCCGCCGTTGAAGTTGAAGACGCCATCGATGATGACGACGACGACGAAGGTGTTTGAGTAGAAGATGCTTTTTGCTTCAGCTGCGCTGTAATTCATACGTGTACATATAGAGACAAAGTGATGGATTAATCATCATAACGATTGATTAAATTTGGATTATTATAAAAATCATTACAGTGTAGTAATAGTAATTAATACGGAGTAATACTTACATTTCTTAGGCTTGTTCATGTAGAGCTTCGTCCCCTCACTCATCCTTCTTCCTTCTCACACGCTTCTTCTTTTGATACAGAATCGCCCTTCACTCTGCTCACAGGAGATCGTCAGCCGCCTTCTGCCGTCACTCTCACGACTTCCATTTCATCTCACCCAAATGAGCGTATACCTGAAGTGAAACGCAGTCGTTCTGGGTTACTTTCTAACTGTCTTTCTACCCTCTTTCACTCCCTATGGCTATGGTATGACGCGGTAACTTTTTTTCAAAAAAAAATAATTACTCCGTATTTTTTTTCTTCTTAATTCTTTTTAAATTACTTGTAAATTTATAATTTTTATTTTATAATTATATTGTGACATATTAAAGAATGAAAAATGAAAATGTTAATAGCACTATAATTTTCGTTGAGTTTAACCTTTAACCGACAAAGGATAAAATCAATAATCTTAACTGATAAAAGACAAAGACAAAATTCACCTCGTAACCCCACAACTTACTCAGGAGTTAAATATGTTATTGAACTTATTACTTCCTAACTATTCTTCTCATCAAATAGAGCCTGCTACCTATTGAACTATGAGTTAAGTCCATTCATCTTTATTACTTCCTAAATATGAAAGTCGTTCTTTTATAATTTTTTTTTTTGAAAGTTACCCGGGTTGGACTTCCATTTGGAAGATTACGAGTTCAAGCCTCAGTGGAGGCGTTATTGGTTCTTTGTGTTTCAATAGGTTGAGAAAGTATATGAACAGATACTACAATGTAATAGAGCCAGTAACTTTCAAAAAAAAAAAAGTCGTTCTTTTATAATTAATTATATGTTTATTTGAATTAAACTAAAAAGAGAAAAAAACGAATATCTTTCTTGAAAGCAACCAGAAAACAAAGTCTACTCGCTATTAAAATATAAATAAAAATTCGTTAATGTTTCACTTGATCGAAATACAAAGGGTCAAATATGATACAAGAAAGATAAATGAGTCTTCATAACTAAGGTATCCATCAACTCCCCTGAAATATAATACGAGTCAGGATAAGATGCACCAAACAAAAATGAGATAACAGACTCTGAGTCTTCGTCCTAGTGATAGCTGGGGTGGATACCCATCAGGTGATGTGCCAATTTGCAGGTGATTGTAATGGAAATCCATCAGCTCAACCTCAATTCCACCGGCGACCACCTCCATAACCTCGACCACGATCTCGGAAACCGCCATAGCCTCCTATAATTAATTGAAAACCGTTACCCAAAGTGGAAGAAAAAGCTAAGGCAATAATTAACAAATGCGAGTTTGAGGTATTATAGCATGTCCCTTTCCTACTGTAAATGATAATTAAAAGGGATGATTATCACTGCATCAAAGATTGATTAACAAATAAATAGACCAACCTGGAGGAGGAGGAGGAGCACCGCGTCCCATGGTTGCCAGTTCAGGACTGACCTTCTGCCCAGCCTCCTGAAGAATATGAATAAGATCTTTTGCAAATCTCGCATTTGCAGCTGTGAAGAATGTGTAAGCTGTTCCTTTGGCACCTGCTCTTCCTGTCCGACCAATTCGATGAACATAGTCCTCGAGGGATCCTGGGAAGTCGTAGTTGATGACATATTTAACATCCTTCACATCTGCAAGCAGCCAAACAATTAAAGAGTAGAATATAAAATGATTATCAACAACTACAAATTTCTTTCCAGAAATTTTCTCAAACTGACAGGGGGATTATACTTTCTTTACACTTAACCATGGAAAAACTGAAACAAAATTACAGAAAGGACTACCATTGAGATTGTTAGTGCAAGATATACCTAAGCCTCGAGCAGCAACATCTGTAGCTGTCATTATGGGACTCTTGCCAGCTTTGAATTCTGAGAGGACCCAATCTCTTTCTGCTTGGCTCTTATCACCATGAATTGAAAGTGCAGGCCAACCATCCATCCGCAATTGCCGAGTTGTTTGATCACAGCCTTTTTTAGTGTCCATAAATATCAGAATTCTGCTACCATCCATAATGTCCTCCAACAACTTCACTAATCTGAGGTTACAAAGAAATTTAGCTTCAGTTTAAATCAACAATCCAAACAGATGAAAAGCATATTTGTCAAAAGCTTTAAGCGATCAAACAACAAGTAGGTCAGAGAAAACCCTACTTGTTATATTTTTGGCTTTCTGACACAATTTCCACATGCTGGCGAATTGCATGATTAGCTTTCAGATCTTCCGAACCAATAATCACCTGAGCAGAATAAAAGGATAAAAGTAAAGGGAAGGATATCAATGACAAGTAAAGGCACAGGTGTGAAGAAATTGTACTTTCATGCAATCATAGTTTTTTATGTAGAATAATAAAGAAGCTGTAACTAATAATATGAAGCTGTAAAAACAAATTTCTACGAAATGTAATTCCTTACCAACGAATAAACTGTCATAAATAACTAATAGAAGTGCGAATATCAAACAGTTCATAAATGATATATCAAGCCAGATTATGATGATGTAGATGATATAGACCTAATTTACCTGAACTACACAGCAGGGGATTTGATATGAAGGAATTATGAATATTATTTTTAATTAAAAAAAAAAAAAAAAAAAAAACCTCTGGAGTGAATTTGTAGTCAAAACACAGTAACCATCATACATTTGAAACTTGAAAGAAAACTTACTTTATATGCATTATGTAGGAATTGCCTAGCAAGTTGCTCAACTTCCTTGGGCCATGTAGCACTCCAGTACAGAGTTTGACGATCTGGCCGTATCTGCACAACACAACCAAATTCAGCGTGCCAGGTGACCGAAAACTGTATACTCACACTCACACACACATCATCATAAGATCTATCCCAATGGATGAAGTTTCTATTATAAACAAACCTGTGAAACAATTTTTCTGATCTGAGGTTCAAAGCCCATGTCCAGCATACGATCAGCCTCATCCAATACAAGATATGTAACCCTACGCAAGTTTGTGTGATGAGATTCTAACATGTCAATCAATCTTCCAGGTGTAGCAATAACAATCTCAACACCTGCAGCAAATTAACATATTATATGTGTATTTATTAGGTTTTAAATAATAATATAAATTGAGAACGGAAGAAGCTAGGATATACCCGATCCATCACATCACGAGATAGAAGTAAAGTCTTGAGCAGATCACCACCTACCTTTCTGAAGATCACGAACCTGGGGCCCCTTTGGAACCCCTCCATATATGCAGGTGTTCTTAATCTTTGATGAAGCACCAAATTTAGTAGCTTCTTGTTGGATTTGAACAGCAAGCTCACGAGTTGGAGCTAAGACTAGCACAATAGGACCATCTCCTTGCGCTTTATACCATAAGAAGTAGTGTTACATCAAGAATTAAGTCACTCTAGCTAATAGACAAGTGTGGCAATGTCATTGGGATATACTGAATAACAATAAATACCTAAAAATGGTTGAGCATTGACATGCACAATTGCGGGTAGCAGATACGCTATTGTCTTCCCTGAACCTGTTTCTGCAATACCAATGAGATCACGGCCCTTCAAGGCCATAGGCCATCCTTGAGATTGAATAGGTGTAGGCTCAGTAAAGCCAGCCTTCTCAATTTCTTTCATAACATATTCTGAAAATATGACATGGGAAGGAAATATAGTGATTAGGAAGAACTATTTGGTAAATGAAGCAACTGGGTCTGAATAGTCAAGAACAACTGCAATTTATAGATGTAATTAGTGTGAATATAATTAAGAGATTCTTCTATGAACTATCAGCAAAAAGGATATTTTTACATAGTGCAATGACTATTCTATTGCAATTTGCAAATATAATCACTGAATAGCCTTGAATGTATTGTGTGTAAGCTTAATTCTTCCAAATTGCACATCCCAGTAGACCACGCAAGGATTCAATAATTGATTCAGAAAGCACAACTTGTGTCTCACCAGACTAGTGTTATTGGCAAACAGTTCGGTATGATTATACCTTGTACTCCTAGTTCTATACTTCACATCAAGCTCCCACTTGGAAAATTTACATTGTGTTCAGAACTCAGAAGTGCATACCTGGAAACCCCACGTCACTGAAGCTCTTCACAGGCTTCGGCACATCACGGCCTTCTACCGTTATCTCCCGTCGCAGCCTATATTCCTCCACCTCGCTGTCCGTCATTGCCGCAACTGACCGTGACTCGACATAGAAATTCTTCTCAAACGGGGTCAACCCGTCTAAATCCAATTTCCGAGGCGACTCACTGCCCTCATAGTCTTTCCTACTTGCTGAAGATGACCGGTATGTCGATCCACCGCCAAAGCCAGAGTCGCTGAGAAACATCCCCCAAACGAAATAAGCAAACATTACAACGATTCCCTCGCAATTCTAATTTCGTTCAGGCTAAAATGAAAAAAAAAATCAAATTACAGAGACACTGAGCATGTAATTGGTCATTGGTTAGCTAGGGTTTTACCTTCGTCGGTCTCGATACGACCCGGGGTCCGCCGCGCGGCTATCGTATCTACTCATTGAACGTATTGTTGACTGCAAGCTCTGGAGAAGTTCCGGCGAGGGATATCGATGGTTTAAAGAGATGGCTCTTTTAATCCGTGTACTACGGTCGCCCCGGCAGTGAGCTATGTATTTGTGGTGACGTTCGGACGATATATCGATACATGGAGTAGTAATTAATTGATGTGTACGACACGTTTAATATCTCATACTTGAGTTCCATTGTATAATTTTCTAATGTATTGGGTTTCTTTGACCTTTTTATGTTATTTTTTGAAAGCATAAACCACATTAAGGGTGTGTTTAGAAACTTGAAAAATGATTTTTTGAAATCATTTTCCAGATTTTTGGTATTTGACTAAGTCAGAAAAATGGAAATCAAAAAAAAAAAAAAAATACCATATAGTCAATGAAAAATAAGCTTTCTTTTTTAGAAAATGACTTCCCCTTTTTCTTGGGAAGTCATTTTCCACTATTTCTTCTCTTCAATAGCTAGAAACCTCCAGCCTCCATCAACACCAAAAAGAGAAACTGCACCGTCGGAGACTAATACCACCGCCGTCGATTTGCTCGTCGTTACTGCCACACAGACTACTTCGCCGGAAAACAGGAGACGCCATTGGACTGCTCGCTGGATCCGTTGTTGCATTGCCGGAGATGCTTTGTATACGTCGAACGAGAGAGACACCATTGTTGCTTGCCGCTGCAAAGAGTACGCCGGAGACGGAGGACTCGCCGGAGAGGAAGGCAGATGAAGAAACCCAGGTCCATAAACAGGGAGACAAAGGTTCGATGGATGCTGCTTCGCAGCCGGATCTATTGTTCACCACCGCGGGATCTGATTTGTATCTACACCATAAATCAATTTGCAGTAAGAGATGATTTATGGGAAAAGATGATCGGTAGAGAGATGAAGTCTGGACAATTGTCAAAAATTATGCTTATAATTATTGAAATGAATATTTTAGAGACTAACACCATCGCCGGATTTGGATTACTTATTATTACTGTTTAATGAATGTTTATTGGGTTGAAATGAATATTATAATATTCATTGGGAAGAAATGAAAATTATTTTCTTTTGAATTTTTTCATTTTCCTGCTCATTTTTTGAAAAACGAACCAAACACACAAAGATAATTTTCTGTTGTGCAACCAAACACCGGAAAGGAAAATATTTTCTGAAAAATGACTTATTTTCTAAAAAACATTTTCCATAAGTCATTTTCCTGCTTTTCAAACGGACGATAAGTAATCAAATAAACATGTTTTACTTCCAAAACCTAATGAACTATGCCTCTATACCCATTCAAGCACGATCATAAATGACATGTATTGGATACATTATCAATAATGTCACACCACCTAGGAATCAAAGATCTTGACTAATGAGATTCGACCAATTGATGTCAATCACTCGTTTGATGTGTTTACTTCAATACTCTACAATGTTGACGAAGTTACGTGAGATGCTGGCCAAATATATGCAGTTGGTGATTTCAACATCAAAAAATCAATTTCAATCTTGAATGAGTTTGATAGTAGCATCGATTCCAGTGGAGTAAGTGTTCATGTTCTACATAATGTTGGCTTTGCTGCTCTCGTGGCAATCTGTATGTGAATTAAAGCAATATTTATGCAGCAAAAGTTTCATGAAATTATAAAATTATAGAATCATGACAATTGTATATTATGTATTATGTAGTTCTTTAGCTTTCATATGATGATTTGTTATGGACATTTCATGTGGTGTGAATTTGTTTGGATCAATAAAGTTTAATTTGCTTCATCAAATAATATGTTTTATTGTTGGAGAATAATTAAATTTGTACACCTCGAAGACAAAATGATTCATTGATGCATGGAGGGCTAGTCCACTTCATAAATGGTAAAAATTAGTAAATTAAAATGTGATGTTTAATTGTTCAAATTAACGGTAGGTGGGCTTCAAACCAGTGCGTATAAAACTTTTGACAATTCATCCAGCGCTGAAATTCTTACCATGTGCATATGAATTTTAAGAAAAATATAAAGTAAAGCGATAATGTTTAGAAATAACAATAAACAATAAAATAGGGAAAAAATTACAAAAAAAAAAAAAAGAACAGTTCATTTAAATAAACAAGGAAAAATTGTATTTTTCGTCCATAAGTTATAGAGTAATTGTAAAATTTGTCTATGAGTGTTAACCATGCTCACTTTTGTTCATAAATTATCATTTACGTTGCACTTTTCGTCATTTTGTGTTATCTTTTTGTCACTGAGTTATATTAAAATTATAAATTTTGTCCCTAATGTTTTATTAGTAAAGGACGAAATATGCAACACCAATAATAACTTAGAGATGAAAAATGAGTATGACCAACCGTTAGGGACGAAAAGTGCAATTTTCCCTATAAACAATTATTATATTTAGGATTAGGATTTAGGAAAAAAAAAAAAAAAGGCTCAAATACTCCATCGTTGCACAAAGTAAGACATGCCCCCACGGTCCGCGCCTATCCGCCCTATCCCAAAAGCTGAGATTTTGCTTGCGCGGCTAAAACCCCGAAGCCATGACCATTGCTTTATCCGTGCTATCTCTCTCGCCGATGGTGAGGGCCTCCTCGGTGGACACAAAGCAAAGACTCTCTTACAATCCTCACCGCACCTATCCCAAAAGCTCTGACGCACTTCCTCTTGCACCGCCAGCCTCCATTTCCACCGCAAACAACCGTCCAGAGATATCAATTTCACACCTCCTTAGACGCGACGTTCCTACACCAAAAAACGGTACTAACTACTATGCGCTTACCTCAAACTTCGCGGTTCAATATTCCTATGATCTAGTAGATACATTCATAGTCACTCGTATATGGCTGTGTTTGGATTATTATTCGTTTTAGCTATTAATTCATGCTAATGATTTGAGGTAATAGGCAAATTTCCTGAAACATATTTGGGATATGAGACATGGTTGCCGAATCCGCCCAAAGTGGAGAAGCCCCGGTCAGCATTCAATGCAGCATCACTGGCTTACATCGGAGATTGCATCTTCGAGGTGTGAATTTTAGCCTTTTAGCTCATGGTCTTTTGACAATGATCCCCGGCAATTAAGTTGGCACCATTTCAAAGATAAGGAATTATGCGATTTTATGTGCACAATAGGAAATTAGGGTGAGGAAAATGATGGCAAAATCCCAAAAAGTTATCTCATAGTTTAGTTGATAATACCAAATTACCAGTGAGCATAAAAGCAAGCAAATTCACTCTAGTTAGTGCAAATTTTCTGTATGATTCTTACATAGTTTCCACTGAGTGAGATGCTTAATTAAATTTAAATTGATTATGCAGCATGTTTTTGTAAATCTTGCTTTGAATGTACTCCTGTTTGCAGTTATATGCTCGAAGGCACTTCTTGTTCCCACCACTGAACATCGAAGAACACAATAAGCGTGTGATGGCAGTAGTTCGTTGTGAGGCTCAAGTATGGATATTCTTTCATGATTTAACATTTTATATACTTATATTGTGACTCCAGGGACTGGGGTGACTGTGGTTTACACTGAATTTGATAATTTGACGATTTACCTGATTATTTCCATCAGTAACTTCTTTTCTATCAAATGCATCTCCATTTGCTCATTATCTCCCTGAACTTTTGTTCTCCACTGATGAGCACTTATATCTTCTTGATACAGTGTTTACTGCTTATGTATCCTTCATATTTGATATTGCTACCGATTCATATTGCCTAGTTACTCCTTGTCAAACCTTGCTCAGTTGCTCATAATTTCCATTTTAGCACGGTTTTATTTCAAGAGGTATTCATATTACAACCTAATCCAAAGAATCTTGCTACTATTGCTTTTCCTGATATTTACTTCCTTATTCTTGTGACTTTATACTGCTTATGGGTGTTCTAAAGTTCAGTTATGTGAGATAGACTAGTTGGATGTATGTTTAAAGCTCTTCAATGGTGAAATAGCGAATTCTTTGATTGCTGTATTTCAGGATGCAATGTTGCAGAAGCTTATCAATGACAACTTCTTATCAGGAGAAGAAAGGTCAGTAGTGTATTTGTATGGTATCTTTCAATATTAACACATACAGATATGTACTTCATGTTTGTGTTTTTCCAGGTGAAAAATGAACTTTCAAGGTTATGCTATGAGCCTATGACAATCTAATGACACTGAAGAGTAATCAAGATTCTATGACAGGCTGACAGCCTTTTTATTTATTTATCTATTTTTCAGGGCAGTGCTTCGTTGGGGGAAAAATGTTGGTTCTGGGAAAACAAGGACTAAAAAACGTGCTGGTGTAGCTGTTTACAATAGTGCATCATCACTTGAAACACTTGTTAGTTCCTCCTATCAACTTCAAAGAATATGTAGGATATTATGAATATCTTGATAAATGAACACTTCTCTTGACATATTTTAAGTCTATGAAATGCTTGATATAATTCATGAAACCCATGCTATATACAAACGAGTCTTATCAGTTTGGCAATTTGATTGAAAGAAATTTAGAGAGAATATTTCCACTTGATGGTTTACTAGTAGAGTAGTTTCTGGCCCTTGCTGCTGCTTGGCACTAAATATGTAGTTCGTACTTGATGATACATCTTGTTTTTCTGACTCTGATATAAATTTTCAGAGCAATTGTCTTGTGAGTCTTCTTTTATACTTCTGATGCTTGTCATGATGTTATTTTTCTAGTAATTAAGTTTTGTTCTTTTGCAGATTGGTTACTTATACCTGACAAATATGCAGCGGCTTGAAGAGATCATGCTTAAGTTAGGTTTCTGTACTGGAGCTTCGTCCCAACATATACTGGAGAACATAAATGGTAAGTTCATTTTTAACATCCAAACTTCTGCATAAGCTGAACTTCAAATTAATATATTATAAGTGATAATGTTATAGGAAGGGGGATACCCAATTACATCAAATGCCTCCACTGAGGCTCGAACCTATCACCTCCCACATAAGGGAGCAACGTGGTACCATTGGACTACAAGGTCCTTTTTATTTTTGGAAACTTATTACCTTGCTTTATAGTTACTTCCATTATTTAGTTGGAAGATTTTAGCAGATTACTTAGCTTAGCTTATTTAGTTTATTTGGTGGATTTTAGCCATTCTATGAGTAGTTGTGTTTACCCTATAAAAAGGGGAACCAATTTCAATGAAAGGCAAGCAGAATTTTGTCCCAGCAAAGGGAATAGGGAGTTCTGGGACCTCAAGAAAACCCAAACCAGTCTCTGCCATTGTTCATTCTCCTTCTTTTTTTTGCCTGTGACGTTGAGTTCATAACACCTTGCCTATAAAATATGGTTTTTTATCATTTCCCTCTTTATCTTCACTGGACTGCTGCCTTGTATTTTTTCCCATATGGCTGGCTCTTTGGTACTCCATAATATTCTTTCAACCCTTTTTGTTCAGCTCTAGTTAATTCAGAATGAGAAAAGAATAAAATTGACATAGTGCATATAATTTGACTAGGTGATTGTACAGGTTTGGAGAATGACGTCCAGCAAGTAGCATGAAGAAATATGGAAAGATTTTTAGATTACCACATCACGAAGCAGGTTTGTCTAAGCACATCTACATTGTTTCTTGAGACTTTAGCAAGCTTGTTATTCCCTTTAACCTTTTCAGGTTTCTGTCTTACATGAGCTTGTAATAACACTTGATGCATGTGTGCTCAAAAACTTAGCTTGAAAAGCACGGAACTAATAGTTAATATCCATTTTACTAAAAAAATAAAATGCTCAAG